AAAACGATGAAAGCCAATACAAGTAGAATGATTACTTTGAATGGTGTTAATTATGTCATTTGGAAGGAGAAAATAAAAGATCTGATTTATGTCAAGAATTTTTACAAACCAGTCTTTACCACTGTAAAGCCCGATAATAAAACAGATGAAGAGTGGAATCTGTTACACAGACAGGTTTGTGAATTCATTAGGCAATGGGTTGACGATAATGTGTTGAACCATATTTCTGGTGAGACACATGCTCGAACCCTATGAGAGCATCTTGAAATTTTGTATGCTCGAAAGACTGGCAATAAAAAATGTCCTAAATAAAGCAGATGTTGAGTTTAAAGTATCATCATGGTTCTCCGATAATAAACCATTTGAATAATTTTCAGGGGATCATGAACCAATTATCTGCTATGACCATTAAATTTGATGAAGAAATTCAAGGCTTGTTTCTACTTGGTTCCCTACCAGACTCTTAGGAAACATTTAGAACTTTATTGTCAAATTCTGCTTCGGATGGTGTGATCTCTATGGATTCCGCCAAGAGTAGTGTCTTGAACAAAGAGATGAAAAGAAAATCTATGGGTTCTTCTTCGTCGGATGTCCTAGTGACTGGCCCTAGGAGGAGAAACAAAACTCGTGATTCTCAGAATAGAGAACAAAATAGGAGCAAATTCAGAGGCAGACTTAAGAATATTGAGTGCTATCATTGTGGCATGAAAGGGCACACAAAAAAGTTCTGCAGGAAGTTGAAGAGGGAGCATAAAACAAAGAGAAAACTAAGGAAGATGACAATTAAAATTGACTAGCCACCGTCACCACCTAAGATCTTGTTACCGTCCTTGATGTGGATATGATAAATATTGCTTGTGATGAGTCAAGCTAGGTTGTGGACACTAGTACCGCATCACATGTGACATTAAGGAAGAATTTTTTCTCTTCCTATACACCTGGTGATTTTGGAACCTTGAGTGTGGGTAATGAGACTATTTCTAGGGTGGTTGGTATTGGTACATTTTGTTTGGAAACTAGTGTTGGAACTAAACTAGTTTTGAACAATGTGAAACATGCTTCTGATGTTCATCTGCACCTGATTTCTGTTGGTGTTTTGGATAATCAAGGATATGTTAGTACCAATGGTGATGAAAAATGGAAGCTCATTACGGGTTCCTTGGTTGTGGCTCGTGGTAACAAACGTCGTGGTCTATACTGGACTACAACTTCTGTTTGTGTTGATATGGTGAATGCGGTTGAGAGCGATAACTCTTCAACGTTATGGCACAAGAGGCTTAGCCACATCAACGAGAAATGACTTAATGTTCTAGCCAAGAAGAAATTATTGTCAAATTTCCAAAGTGCCAAATTAGAAAAGTGTGAGCACTGTTTGACTGGTAAACAAAATAGAGTTTCATTTAAGTCTAACCCTCCTTCGAGAAAGACAGAGTCGCTTGAATTGGTGCACTCTGATTTATGTAGTCCAATGAAGACAATGACATTGGGTGGTGCACTCTACTTTGTCACTTTTATTGATGACTGTTCGAGAAAACTTTGGGTCTATGTCTTAAAGACTAAAGACCAAGTGTTAGGTGTCTTCAAGCAGTTTCAGGCTTCAGTTGAAAGATAAATTGGAAAGAAATTGAAATGTATTTGTACTAATAATGGTGGTGAATATTGTGGACCATTTGACGAATAGTGCAAGCATAAAGGTATTAGACACCAAAAGACTTTTCCCAAGACTCCTCAGCTTAATGGTCTGGCTGAGAGGATGAATAGGACCTTGATGGAAATAGTTAGATGTTTGCTTTCTGAAGCAAAGTTGCCGAACTCATTTTGAGGTGAGGCTTTATTGACCGTTGCACATGTTATTAATTTATCTCCTACTGTTGCTTTGCAAAGTGATGTTCCAAATAGAGTTTGACATGAAAATGATGTTTCCTATGACTATTTGAGAGTATTTGGTTGTAAAGTTTTTGTACATGTGCCGAAAGATGAGAGGTCAAAGTTAGATGCCAAGACAAGACAGTGCATCTTCATTGGATATGGCCTTGATGAATTTGATTACATGTTATATGATCCAATTGAGAAGAAACTCGCGAGAAGCCATGATATTATTTTCATGGAGAATCAAACAATTGAAGATATTGATAAAGTGGAGAAGCTATAATCTTCAAATTTTGATGACATAGTTCATCTAGATGAAGTTCCTCACACAAGTATGCATGATGTTGTCGGGCTTGATGATCACGGTGACACCCATAATCATGTATCGAATCAACATGTTAATGTTGATAATAACAATGATATTTTTATTTATGATCCTTTTGCTCATGAAGTTGTGGACGAATCAAATATTCCGCTTAGGAGGTCCACAAGACAGCGGGTTCGTCCTCTCATTATTCACCCAATGAGTATGTGTTACTTACTGACGGGGGAGAACATGAATATTATGAGGACGCTATGGAAGATGAGCACAAGAATCAATGGATTGAAGTTATGCAAGATGAGATGAAGTGTCTGCATGAGAACCACACTTATGAGTTGGTAAAATTGCCCAAGGACATGAGAGCTTTGAAGAACAAGTAGGTGTTCAAAGTTAAAGTTGAAGAACACAACTTAAAGCCCAGATACAAAGCTAGCTTGGTTGTTGAGGGATTTGGTCAAAGAAGGGGTATTGACTTTGACGAAATATTTTCTCTTGTTGTGAGAATGTCCTCGATTCGTACAGTTCTAGGTTTGACTGCTAGTCTTAATTTAGAGATTGAGCAGATGGATGTGAAAACAACTTTCCTTCACGGTGAACTAGAAGAAGAGACTTGTATGGAACAACCTGAGGACTTCAAAGTAGATGGTAAAGAAAATTGTGTGCAAACTCAGATAGAATCTCTATGGCCTAAAACAAGCTCCTAGATAGTGGTACAAAAAGTTTGAATCTGTTATGGGGGAGCAAGGCTATAAGAAGACTTCTTCAGATCATTGTGTATTTGTACAAAAATTTTATGACAATGATTTTATCATCCTCTTGTTGTATGTGGATGATATGTTGATTGTGGACAAGGATACTTCCAAAATTGACGATTTGATGAAAGAGTTGTGTAAGTCTTTTCTATGAAAGACTTGGATCATTCCAAGCAAATTTTGGGCATGCGAATTACTCGTCTCAGAGATGAAAGAAAGATTCATTTGTCACAGAAGAAGTACATTGAACGTGTACTAGAGTGCTTCAATATGAGATTTGTGGGGTTCCAGCTCTATTTTATTAAAGTCTCACTTTGGTACAACTACATACCAACTAAATCTTACCAAGATAACTACATAGTTGCAAAGTTTGAAAATTTAGTATTTTCATGATGTCATTGGTGACATCATTAGCTATAAATTTCTTCTATAAATGGAGCTCATTAGCTCATTTATAGAATACACCAATTCACGGAGAAAGAAAAATATAGAGAGCTGTGAGGTTTTCATAGACTATACAAGAAAATAGTCTGTGAAGAAAAATAGTGCGTGAGCGATATTTTCACGCACTATTTTTCTGTAAGGTGGAAAATCAAAAGAGTGTTATTCCTTTTGAGTTTGTAGTAGTCATTTTGAATATTGTATTCGTGACTACATAATGTAAAAATTCATTGCTATAGTAATATCAGTTGCTCCTCTTGACCCATGATTTTTCCCTCATTTAAAAGGGTTTCCATGTAAAATTCTTGGTGTCATTATTTTCCCATTTTATTTTCATTATTTTGACCATATATATTTTGTGTTAGTCCGTATTTTCCAACATTTGGGAGTATCCATACGTATTTCTATCAATCATGAACTTAGAGCCTGAACTGAAGAATTGCACCACCCATTCTAATGATCTTATAGATTAAACACACAGATTAATGTTTGAAGGGGTACTAATCTTACCTCAAATGATGAAAAAAGTCCTACTTGATGGGAAATTGCCTCTCTCAAATCTAAAAATGAGCTTTATACTGGTCCCTCGGCTTTTCTTCGAGCTACCATAGCGATCAGTTGACCACTACGATGGTCTCGCTACAACGATCATAGAGAAAAACTTGAGGGTAGTTTTCGAATTCCCCATTTCACAACACGCACTTGAATCTATGACGATACAAATATATCTCATCGTGAAAATCGCTATAATTGAAGTTCTACGAATTCGTTTCTCAATCTGAAAGTTTCTATGAACCACCAAGCCCCTCGACTAACATAATCAAAACTTGAAATAACTAAATGCTACACCACATAACCTAAACGATCTCTAAATCCCACAACACTAGATTTTCGTCACAAACTGACCTACCCAATTAAAATCTATCTTTGAGGGGATATTTTTGTCAGGGATAAGTCATACCAAAATTATTATTCCATCTAAAAATAAGACGTACATATTCCATTACTAATTATTAATCCTAAAATAAATTATCCTAAACTTTGTAATAAAATAAAATAAATTAAAAATATTAAAAATTTATGCTAGAATTATTTTTCTTTATCCATCCCCAGACATGTTTTAAGTGAAATAGCTAAGACTTTAGACTAACAAGAGGAAACACATTTAGAAATATATATCTATCTATCTATATCGTAAACTATCGGATCGGATATTACTTAGATGTGAAACTTGCAGACCTCATAGGTTGTAATATTTATCTTACGGGGGGAACGAAATCAAAGAATATATAGACTGGTAGAGGCCCTCTATGTAGTTGTCTATCTAGGGCGATCGATCTACAACTTTCCCCATAGCCCTGGGGCTGTGTCTCAATCTCCTATGTGTGAAATATAAGGGACTAGTTCCTATATCACTAAAATTAACAGTAAAATAGAAATTACTGAAATTCAACCCCTAAATTAAACAAATACACCAACAAACCAATCCCTAAACTAAAAACTTTATTAGGTAACAATAATAATATATGCCTAAATCAAAATATTGCGTAATTTGAAGGGAGGAAAAAAACAGTTCAAAAAACAAAACAAAAAACTAACTTGAACAGTGAAACTGTATCGCCGAAACTAAGAATTCGCCGGTGGAAGAGAGACAGAGGGAATCGTTGCGTAAAATTTTGAGTCGAATGGGGAAGAAGAGGAAAAGAAGGGCTGAGGGTAATGATAGTAATGACAGGCAGAAGAAAAACCCTCTACCCAAAGAAGACGAGCCCAAAAAAACTAGTAATAACAAGTCATATATACAGGTATGTTCAAAATATGGTGATTTCTGCCAATTTAAACAGGGAACTAAAGTGGGTGTTACTCAAAACAGAATAACAATGTCTATGGTATTGTAATTTTGGGGAATAGTTAAATTCAAAGAATAAAGTTTTCTGCTTTGTACTGATAAAAAGTAAATTTCCGAAAAAGTGTTGTGTTTTGGTAGTTTAACATTTTTAATATGTCTTGTTTACACTATATGTGTCAAAAGATTTAGATAAAAGCATAAAGTTCTCTCCTTTCTATTAGTTTTGCATAATAACGTTTTGAATATTTGCACCCAAGAGTGTGGCCTAGTGGTCGATTAAGTGGTTAAGGTTCAAATCAGACAAAAAAAATACTAGGTGATTCTTCCATCTGTCCTAGGCTTGGTGGACAGAGTCACGTACCTGTTGCTGGTGGAGGTGGCAGGTATCTCTTGGAATTAGTGGAGCTACGCAAAAGCATGCTCAAACAACACGTTCATAAAAAGAAAAAGAACACTTTGAATGTTTCTTGTAGTCACTAAATCAGTCAGGATATTCACGGAATTCGTAAGAGTACTAATTTAACTGTTTCATTTTTCATAGACCACAGTAAGGATGTTTGGTGTGGACAAACATCTTGTGTCCTTATAAATATGCATTTAGCATATATGTTCATTAATCATATCAAATTTGTTATTCTAATTGCTTGCTTTTTCACACCTCGAAAAAAATTAACTTTTGATTCTTTGAATTTCACACAGATCCTAGGAAATGGCATGGATACTCAAGATACATCACCCTCTATCCTCCTCTTTTTGGACAAATGGAGGTTTTTATTTAACGCAGGAGAAGTAAGTGTTTTTCAAGTTCCCTTCTGTAAATAACATTAGGGCGGTTGTTTGGTTTGCGTACTAGTTATGCAACAATAATATGTGCATGGACTATTATATGGTGAACTATTTTTGATGAATAAGAATGCGTTAATCGTTATTCAAAGTTTGAGATAACCAAATCAAGAATTAGCTTAATTGTGCTATCGCTAAAACACACATTCTTATTGCACATTCTATATCGTTTAAAATAGTGAATAAATTGACCATATAAGGTATGTAGGTAATAGTTATTCAGAGTTTTTACCAAACGTTATATGAGTAATGCGAGATTTTATATCGGAAACCATCAGTGTGATGTATTAACTATGTATTGCGTAACTATGATTTATTTTTCTTGCACAAAAAAATGGGCGAGTCCCAAGTGTGTGTTGCAGGTGGTTCTCATATTGTTCTAGTTGATACTATAAGTGTAGCGTAGTTCTAGTGTGATTCTATTTTGTTAGTTTGACAATATCTCCCATATCTATTTGATTGTACTTTGATTATAGTATTTATTTTGTTGTAGATACTGTTCCTTTTTTTTTTCTGAATGTTTTTTCATGCTATCTTTAGTATTTTGTCATGGCTTCTTCACTTATGTTATTTCTTTTCCCGTAGTGTTGTGTTATGTGTTTTCTTGAGCAGAGGGTCTATCGGAAACAACATCTTTACCTCCCAAGGCAGGGGTAAGGTTTGCGTATACACTATACTCTCCAGACCCCCCTTGTGGGATTACACTGGGTATGTTGTTGTTGTTGATGATGATGATAGAGTATTATGGCCATTTTTTATTGCTTTTGTGAAGCAGGTAGACTAATTTGACCTAAAAAGATACCTTGTTTGCATTTATATATTGTTTATGTATAGTCTAAATCCAGCTATATTCTGTTAGAATGAGCATAATGGAGTCGAATGGTATAGAGGATCTATACAGCTGAATGCATCTAGATTCATGTCGAGGCATAGTGGATTATGTGCCCGTTTGGATTAACTTAAGTTTTAGGTGCTTTTGACTCTTAAGTAGTTCTTTAGTTTTGGAGGTATTTGGAAAAGTTATAAAGTTCTTTTAAGCACCCACTTTTAGGCCAGAAAAGTTTTAAAATAAGTCAAAGTCAAAAGTAAGGTACCATCTACTTATGACTTTTAACTTTTGACTTATAAGTTACTTTATATAAGCCCATCCAAACAGGCCCTAATGGTTTGATCCACCTATTCTCAATTCTGTTGAATAAATGTTTAGTAGATGAAAGAGGAGGCATTTTTCTTGTAACAATAAAAAAATGATTTAGCTATTGTCTATGTCTTTGTCATTGTTCTAGTAGGTTTCCTCTTCATAATATCGTTCTACAAATTGTTTCCACTTTTGTCATTGTTGCTCTTTCTTAGTTCTCGTTGCCTTTGTCAAAAAGAGGATTGTTGTAGATAAACTGGAAGAACAAAAAAAGTACAATTGGTTGCCTAGTGCGGGTTATCTCTCTTGTGTGGTTTACAAGCTATTGCATAGGAATGGGGGTTTTATCCTGTGCACACCCAAAGGGTAGCAGTTGTTGGTTTCCCTTGTCATAAAAAAAAGTGCACTCGGACTTAGTTCTCAACACCTATTTATGTTTTGCTCACAGGGATTGCAACGCTTCTTGACAGAGCATAAAATTACATTGTCACAGGTATTCAGATATATTATCTTGCTGTTGTAAACCTAATTAGTGTGTAAGTACTTTTTTTCTGTTCTAGGGGAATACACATAAAAAACTCTTTTTTTTTTACCAGATTGATCACATATTTCTATCACGTGTCTGCTCAGAAACTGTTGGTGGACTCCCAGGTTGGTTATCAATGAGCACAGTATGAAAGTTTTAACTTATTGAGTGTCTGGATCAAACTAACCCTTGAGAAGACTCTGGCGTATTGATTGCAGTTGATTAAGACCACCAAAGAAGTTCTATTGTTTTACTTGCAGGTCTCTTATTGACTTTGGCTGGGATGGGAAAAGACGGGATGTCTGTGAGTGTCGCATTAACTTTATTTACTTACTATATATTCATCACAAATTTCATCGCTTTTCTTATTTGTATTTTTACTTTTTATATTTATTCTTTTGTTTTATACAATATTAGCTTGAGATGAATTTAAATGGAGATAAATGGTCAGTGAGAATTTGTATAGTCGATCCCAGCTTGTTTGGGATTGAGGTGTTGTTGTTTACAAATGGAATTTGAAAATTTGATGCAGCTTACACCATTTGCTTGCAGGTAAATGTTTCGGGTCCTCCAGATCTTTATCTATTGGTTAAAGCAATGGAATCATTCATCCCAAATTCTGCCATGGGTTATATAGATAGTGTTCTCCGTAATGGATCAGATGAAGTTGCTAGTGCTTCTTCAAGGAAGTTTGATCGTCTTTTTTCTCCCATTACTGATGGAGTTGTCAAACTATCTGTTGTTCTCTTGCCACCACGTTGCTTGAAAGTGTGTGGCTCAATGAAGGAAGGATCCTCTGAGCCAAATCCTCCACTAGTTAGTGGTAGTCATTTAGCTGAAGACCTTCAAGCACAATGGATGAATCTCACAGCTGAAGTGGCATTAAATCCTGGTGAGCTCTCGGTGATTTATATTTGTGAGTTGCCGGAGATCAAAGGGAAGTTCTATCCAGATAAGGCTGCTGCTCTCGGAGTGGAACCTGGGCCAAAATATGGTCAATTGCAAAGAGGGAATTCAGTGGTGTCAGATCACCAAAATATCATTGTAAGTTAGGAAGATTCTTTCCATAGTTTATCTCGGACTTCATAATCTATCTCATTAAGTTCTTGGTGCTTTGCTTGCATTTTTTTCGCTGCGCAGGTTCACCCTTGTGATGTTATGGAGCCTTCCACTCACGGTCCTATTGTGCTCCTTGTTGACTGTCCAACACTATCTCATCTGCAAGAGTTGTCATCTTTGCAGTCTCTTATTCCATATTACTCGAATACATCAGAACAACCTGTTGAAATGTGCAAAAAAGTAAATTGTTTGATACACCTTAGCCCTGCGTCAGTAACAAGTACAACTGCGTATGAGCAATGGATGACCAGATTTGGTGATGCCCAGCACATAATGGCACGACATGAACCGTAATTACCTTATGATTTTCCCTTTTTTTCAACTGCATGTCTAGCTTTCTCCTCTAATTTATGTTTCCTGTTTATATAGTTGTATGTTTATTATTCTTGTGGGCCATCTGCAGGAAGAATATTGAGATTCCAATTCTGAAATCCAGTTCAAGAGTTACTGCAAGACTTAACTACTTGTGTCCTCAATTATTTCCTTCTCCTGGTTTTTGGTCTCTTCAGCAATTGAAGAGCTTACGATCAGTCTCAAAGTTCCCGAGGGAGGTATACCTTTACTAAAATTCTGTTTGGATGAGCAATATATTTTACTACTGATAATTACTTGGACCTTGGGTATGTTTGCCTAATTGAGCAGCTATTTTAATTTTGTACTTTTCAGTTGTCACTTCCAACTTCATGTCAGATCACTTATGCAGAGAACCTGCTCAAGGTGAGGGAATCGATATAGTTTGGTTGAAATGGTTCTAACCTGAATTAGAAAGTTGCTACTTCTTATAAGTAAAATATATTGTTCTTGCCTATAGAAAGGACTAAGAAAGTATGTACTAACTTGATTTGCTTAGGAATGTACATACACATATATGTTCCATAAAATCCATTGCCGCCTATCTTATGCTAGTTATTTACTTTGATGCTTGCTTTACTTAAAATGAACTTTGTTTTCTGGAACAGTTCCATCTTCTTCCATACAAAGAGCTTGGATTAGACAATTCTAATGTTCCTGCTACTATTTCTCGGACAGAAATCTTAAATGAGTTAACTTCGAATATACCAGAAATTATAAGTGCTTCTGAACATATTAGCCAACTCTGGCATGGGAACAATGGAATAATTGAAGAGCTACAGTTGCATGAAACTCCATTACCGAGCTGTTTGGAAGGTATAACAAGAGAAGATATGGAGATAGTTTTTCTCGGAACTGGTTCATTGCAGCCTTCAAAATACCGAAATGTTAGTTCTATATTTATTAATCTTTTCTTAAAGGGGAGTATTTTGTTAGATTGTGGTGAAGGAACACTGGGACAACTAAAAAGAAGGTATAGTGGCAGTTCATTAGCATAAGCCTGTCATATCCATATTTTTTTTTGCCTACACTTAATGTGTGATACACTTTGCTCTTTTCATAACAGATTTGGTGTTGATGGTGCTGATGAAGCGGTGAAGGGTTTAAAATGTATTTGGATTTCTCATATTCATGCAGATCATCATGCGGGACTTGCAAGAATCCTTGCTCTGAGACATGATTTGCTCAGTGGAACTCCCCACGAACCTTTAATAGTTGTAGGTCCTCAGCAACTTGAGATATTTCTTGATAGGTACCAAATGCTCGAGGAACTAGATATGCAGTTCCTTGATTGTAGGGATACCACAGAATCTTCATGGGAGGCTTTTGAGTCAAATGACGATAATGATGCTAATGGGAGCGCAAGCAGGCTAAAGAACATGCTCAGACAAGCAGGATTGATGACTTTAATTAGTGTTCCCGTTATTCACTGTCCACAAGCTTATGGAATCGTCCTGAAGTTTGCTGATAGGACTAATGTTATTGGGAAGAAGCTACCAGGTTGGAAGATTGTTTACTCTGGTGACACAAGGCCTTGTCCAGAATTGGTTAAAGCCTCTCATGGGGCAACACTCCTCATACATGAGGCATGTTACTAAATATGTTTAAAATATTTTCCAATGAATGTTCTTCTATCCCAATTCATTTTATTTTTTTAAATATTTTGTCTAAATTGCGAGCCATTTTCGTGTAGGCTACTTTTGAAGATGGCATGGTTGAAGAGGCTATAGCAAAAAATCACAGCACAATGGGGGAAGCTGTTGAGGCAGGGGACGCTGCTGGAGCATACCGCGTCATCCTCACTCACTTCAGCCAAAGATACCCTAAAATTCCAGTATTTGATGAAACACACATGCACAAAGCATGCATTGCTTTTGATCTGATGAGTGTTAACTTGGCTGATCTGCCCATGCTTCCTAGTGTTGTTCCATATCTTAAACTCTTATTTCCTGATGAAACGTCTATCAATGAAGCTGATTGAATAGCACTATTTACGACAACCCTTGTTAAAAGCATTTATATACAAGAGCGCCTTCACAGACTATTATTGGTTATGGACTTGCGGTATTGAAATTTTGTTTATCTATGAGGTTTGTGTTTAATTCTTTTGGTTTTTAGAGTGCAAGAATTCATGCAAAAAGTATATGGGAATTGAACTCATGACCACAAATTTTCAACCTTTTAAGTTCAACCATGTTATTTAAAAATGAAACTTAACGTTCTTATTCAAATGAAAAGCACTGCTGAACCAATCTTTAATTTATCATAGCATTTCTTTATCCTTCTCTCTTTCTATATACATTTTTGCTCTCAAGGTAAACAAAATTCACAAGAAAGGGAAAAAGGAGGTTAACAAAAGTTTATGAAGAAACGACTGGGGATTTGGGAGTAGAAAAACATACATCTAGAAAAAGAAGACCTCCTATAAGTAACTACGAAAGCTTTCACGTGACAATAATGAAGCTTGTATGTTTGAACTTTCTACCCAGGCATCTCAAAAAGATCCCAGAGAATAACAAAATTTATCGATCTTCTTCATTCTTTCATTTTTCTATTGTTCCATTTCCTCTGAAGAAGTTTCTGCATCATAGTTCTTGCCAAAGCCAAGTTCTGACATGTCTTGCTTTGCCATCAAGTTCCTGCAAAACACTCATAAGAAAAACATTTTCTTACAGCCTATATTCCTACAGAGGATCATAAGTTGCTGTAGACCTACAGGAAAGGGGCGTTTTTTTTCATAAGCAGGTGATAAATTAATACAAGGAGATATGAAAGACAAATCTGATGAAACTATTTCGCCAGGAGGCATCACTTTGCATTTACTTGCTATAAACACCAATATACTGTAGGAATTGAAGTTATATTTAGACAAGTGTGTGAATTTCTCTTCAGTTCTATTTCTATTTCAAGTAAAAGACGGAAGCTCTGTTGAGATAAAATTTGCCAAAGAAACATAGTATACAGGAAAAAGGCAAAATGAAAAAGACGGAGGAAGTTTCTTCTCCTAATTTCATAAATGCAGGAATTTGACGTTAGCCTTTTATGAGATCTCTTTTCATTTTGTTTGGGTCCTAAACAGAGGTGCAATCAAGCAAAAAAGAGAATCTCTTTCTTGAATGCTTTTCTTCCTGTTCCTGTCCTAGATAATTTCATTGGTTTGGTTCTGTATATAACTAATTGCTCTAGACCAAAAGACCCATACTTTATGTTTCTGCCCTTTGCTTCTACTTTCTGCATTCTTTCCAAATGCCATGATATTTATGACTTTTTTAGGAATAATTTGTGCTGTTATTCATTAAAGACCATCCAGAATATACCAAAAACTTGGCAAAAGTGCTAGTTTGTTGCATTTGTTCATCCACTTTGGTACACATGCTTTCTTGAGATATTTGACGGAAAGCATGCAGAAAACCAGAATAAGTTATAAGTTTGAACTAATAGGTAATATTTGATAGAAACAAGTGTCCTGATTTCAAATAATCTGCCATCCTACTCCACAAGGGACATCATTCTTTAATTTTTGGATAAAGACGGGGCATAATAACACTAATCAATTAAAGAGATGAAATCAACACCGGTAATTGGTCATACTCAACAACATTAGGTAACTTTCAACTCTTGTGCCCACAGAAGAAGAAAAAAAGGAAATATAGAAGCCTATAGACATACTCTTTACAAATTTGAACATATTGAAAATGTAATGGCCTTAAATTAAAAATTATGTGTAAGCATGATAAGAATTAAGAGGCAAGCCTTGTGCAGAACTCTCAATCTTGGCAGTAGTATGAACTCATGAACAAAGTATGTGGTTCAATATTGTAATGGCAAGAAAGTACTTTGTTGACTATCAGAAGCTGTACACTAGAATATACTTCGCATACTAAAAACTAAACAATGCAAGTGTTTTCTAAATCATGTCAATGGACTTACTTCTCCATACGGCACACCAGGTACTTTTTAGAGAGGTGTCTACAGTTGTCAGATTTATGCCCAGAGGATTTAAGACAATTGAGGTACTCTTTCTTCTCCTAAAACAAATCAAATAGTATAGTAAGTAACAAGAAGGAATGAACCTTGCAAAAGATAAGATCTGCTCTATCAACAACCTTCTATTATACTTTTATCCTATGTTGCTCGGACTCTTCAAAAATGTCAACGGGTGCGTGTTCGATTCGCCAAAAGTTCTGTATTTTTGGTGAATCCAACACGGGTGCGGCACCAAAATTCAAAAGTGAAGAGTCCACACAACTAAGCGTTTTATCTTAAAAGAACGGAAGGGAAAACAGAAGGCAATAACAAAACCAATAAATAATGAGATCTTTGAAAATATTATACCAGGTCACATAAATGCATATGGTCCAAAGGAAAAACTCCTTTTTCAGGTGGCACTGGTCTCAGTCCTCTATTTCCACCAAATGCTCCCCCTTCATACAATAGAAGACAAACGTTGTATAACACGAGTGACGAGATATAGGTAACCCAGAAAAGAGAAGAGAGAGAGGGGGGGATCACAAAGTACAATCATCCCTCATCTAGGCACTTACATCAAATCAAACACTAAGTGAGGAAACAATTATCTACACTCAAGGTCATAAAAGTACAAATAACAACACATGATACTGAATGCTGATACTCATGAACTCAAGCCATTAATTGCCAAGTTTCGAGCTCTACTCTAATGACACTGGAGATACACACCAATTAAACTTTGTGGGTAAAAAAAGTTTGACAATCATCAAACAGATGATCAATCATTTGACTAAACATTCTAATTACCTTGTTTAAATTGTTTCATAAGGTCAAAGTTTTACAATGTAAAATCACAAAGTTAAAACAACAGGTCCCGTGCCACCCATGTACAATCCTTCCATTATAAATCCAAACACGAAAATGTATCTTCAACTTACTCTGGATTAATCGATTAGTTATATAATTCAACCTTATCCAGCACATTTGCTCCATGACTTATTTTATGAAGGCTACAGAAAGAACCCAAGAAGAATGCAAAGGCAGAACAATGGAGTGTGTTTTCAGTGGAGAAAAATGTTTTGACTTGACATTTTCTAGGATCATTTTAGTGTTGTTAGGGTAAAGTAGGCGATATATGGTAATTGGAGGATAGAGTGAGAGTATAGTGTTTTAGTACTTAATATTTGTGACCATTAGAAGTTGATGATTGCTAAAGCAACTGATGGAAATCATCTTCACCAAATTGTACAATATTTTACTTGGAACCAAAATATTTCATGATTTAAGTTAAGCCAACACTGAAAAAACTTTCAACACATCAAAAACACCCTAAATCATATTAAATTATCTAATCTCATTGACATTGAATTCGATAAGTAACTCATCTCTAGGATGAAAATGAAGAGAAACCCATCTAACAAACACAATAACAGTTACTCTGATTTATTTTAACCATATCAATGTATACATTCATTCATCTTTCTCCCTATCTATGAGAAGTAGTTTGACATCCACCTACCCCTACTAGCCAGCAAACCAATGATAGAAGATCAATTATGATCATTACCCATTCAACCTATTATGCCTCAATCTCAAATTAGTTGCAATGGCTATACAAATCCTCTATATTCATTTCTCAAATAATTTACTCCAGTCGAGGTATTTCACAAACAACTTCTCTACTTGCTCTCAGAAGGTAGAGGTAACGTATGCATACATTCTACGCTCCCCCGAGTATGTTATCATTGTTTGTTATTAATCCCAAAATAGTTCGGGTCAGCTACATAAATCAACTGTATCTTATTGTTCATATATATATGCGTTACAAATTGAGAGCGCAAACCCTAAAAAGGGGGAGAGAAGAGTAAATTCACCTGCACTCATTGTCGGAGACGTTGATCGTCGTAACCTTCCTTTTGCAGTTGACAAGCTTCGTGTCGCCGGAAGTGTGATAATGGACCGAACAAAGAAGATTCACCGGCGGGACATCAGTTGGAAAGCCCAACCCATTAAAGAAAGAGATGGGCTGGACCAAGATACTAGATATTAGGCCTCTTTCCTTTAAAAACAGGTATCAAGTACATAAATTTCATACATTTGAGGGCTAATTACATTCTAATCTCAAAAGTTTTTTAGTTACAATTTTTTTAATTTTTTCATTTCTCTCAAATACAATTCTTTTTTGTTCGATATATTGCAAATGATACATTATTTAGTGTGAGAAATGTATCTGAGAGGGAATACGAGAAGGGATATAAATGTATCAGAGAAAGAATTTTTGTAATTTTTTTAAATAGTAGAGAATTTTAGAGATTATGATATCTTAAGTTGTGTATTTAGGTAATTTTTCATTTAAAGAAAAACTACCTAGTTAGACAAATAGTCCTATCATATTCACTAATTCTCTATATACTTTGAAATAATTATATATTGCCTCAGTAATTAATAATTTCATATCAGATATGCTTAAATACACATATTTTTTTCTATCAGTTACATTCTGAAATACAAATATATGAGAAGAGTAGGGGCATCAAATGGACGGGTTGGGCATGACCCACCAAATTTGACCAGCTTAATCTCAATAATTTTAACATGTTGTTATTTAACTTTTATAACCACAGTTTGAATTTCAACTCAAGAAAATTAAAAAAAAGATTACAAATGGATAGATAAATCCTAAAAGATATAAAATACATAGCAATTCATTCCTTCAATATAGGAACATACATTACATCAATGCAAATAAAGAGTCTTAAAACAAGTTAAAATTAGATATTAAATAGAGCTCAATTGAGGATTCTCTTAAAATGGGTTAACGCTTGGACAAGTTGAAATTCAAATTATCTTGAGCCCAACCCTTAAAATTATAGGCGGGTTGGGTGAGTTACCTATGTTTGAGCTCATTTTTTACACTCTTAGAGAAGAGAAGCGAGCGAGATAGGAGGAAGGCAAACGAGATAGTTAGTGTATCACATATACATGTGAATCATTCTAGATACATATATCTGAGATACCAAATACCGTCTGAAGTATAAATACATAGAAAGAGAGGCAAATGAGATAGGAGGAAGGCTAACGAGATAGTGTATCACATATACATGTGAATCATACTAGATACATTTATTTGAGATACCAAATACCTTCTGAAGTATACATACATTAAAAGAGAGGCGAGCGAGAAAGGAGAAAGACAAACAAGATAGTTAGTGTATCACATATACATGTGAATCATACTAGATACATGTATCTGAAATACCAAATACCTTCTGAAGTACATATACATAGAAAGAGAGGCGAGTGAGATAGGTGGAAGACAAACAAGATAGTTATTGTATCACATATACATGTAAATCATACTAGATACATAGATCTGAGATACCAAATACCTTCGGAAGTACTGATACATAGAAAAGAAAGGTGAATGAGAGTCTCAATATGTCATACATACATGCGAATCCGCTTAAATATTGTGTATATGAATACAATTTTGTTGTTGCCTCGTGTTAGATTCAGTTTTTAAAAAATACAATTTTTACAAAATACTACTATCAGTCAACAATAATTTCTCAATATGTATGCGTCTGTCAAAAGGTAGAGGCTACAATTTCTTAGAAAGAGGTCAATAGTTGACATTAAATATTTTGCAATCATAGTCAACATTTAAATTCTCTGTTGTGACATATAAAAAAGATTTATTTTTCAAGTTGAATACTTGATATTTTATAAGAATTGCATAACTGAAGTTGTTTGAATATTACTTTTGAAAAAATTATTCGATAACAATATTTCAGTATGATATGCCTTGCAATGATAATACATCAGATGAATAGGCTCACCATTCATCGATCTGTGGTTGTATTATTTATCTTCAGTTTATTTGTATCTCATCCCACACACACTATAATATTTTTAAATACTTAAAAACTAATTAACATGAGACTATCCTTGCTTAATTCCCCACATAAAAGTACGATAACACTTGGCTACCCTTCTTATCCTCGACATCCAAACTTTCATATCTAGTATCATAACCTCATTAGGCTGAAGCATGTCATATCTAATCACCTTCTCCAAGTTCTTCTTTGGCCACCTTTGCCTCTTCTAAAACCTGTTATAGCTAACCTCTCACATCTCCTTAATTATTGGTACATTCGTGCATCTCCTCTTCAATGCTCAAACCATCTCAATCTCACTTTCCTTATCTTGTCCGCCACAGAAACCGCTCCACCTTATCATGTATAACCTCATTCCTAATTATCTCCAATTATGTCAATACATCCATCTGAATATTCTCATATCTTCTACCTTCATTTTCTAAACGTGTTCGTTTGACTGATCAACACTTTATCTCATACAACAAAGTAGATCTAACCATCACTTCGTAAAAGTTATATTTAAGTCTAATTGGTAACACATTCTTATCATATATTATCTTATGTGCAAGCCTTCATTTCACCTATCCATTTCAATACCATGTGTGACATCATTAATCTCCTTATTTTCTCAAATTTATAAACTCAAAATATTTGAAAATTCCTCAATTGAATATCACTTATGTATCAATCTTTAATTCCACCTATGTTCACACGTTACATCACTAGTATAACGGACATCACTAATATAGGAGCACTTAGCAATCTCTAACGAACACATAAACGAAAATACGTGGATGATTATGATGTTGAGCTGAAAAAACCACAGTACACGTATGTGTTCAGAAATAGAACACCTTTTCAATTAGCTAAATCTACCATTATTTGTTAGTAATTTAAATTAGAAATATTATTGTACTCATTATTGAAATACAATGATACTTGATAAAATTTATTTTTTTTGCAGCGTTGTTTTCAAGCAACGTAAGCTCATTTAATAGACTTGGGTTTTTGCTATTTTTTTAAAATTTATTCACATAAAAAGAAACTTTTATGTGAATAGGTGTCCAATTACACCCCCGATGTATTTATATAGTGACTTTGTTAGTGAAGTGGCGATGTGATTTTATTTATTATATATCTATACGTGTTGTGTGGTTGGGTAGAAAAATATTATTACATGATTGATAATTACTGTGTGAGGCTATTTTATGTGAGACAATAGTTTCTTGATTGAAACACTTATTCGACCAGGGATAGTGAATTTGATTTTATTTTTTTTGTTCTTTTTTTTATTTAGAATCGGTTTGAATTGGCTTTTGGTTTTTGATTTATAAACCAAAGTCACAAGATAGAAATTCTAATTTAGAACTTTTGACTTATTTTGATTATTTTAATTTAAAATTGGTTGTTTGGTAGAGTGTATTGACAAAAATAATGCATGCATTAATTTTATGTATTAGTCAATGGTGGAACCAGAATTTCGACTAAAGAGTATCAAAATATAAAGAAGTAAAATTGCGTAGAAGCCAAGAAGTGTCAATATGTGATATATACACATCAAAAATATTTTTATCTGACTACACAATGTAATTTCCGACGAAGAGGTGCTGCATTTGACTCCACCACTGCTATTAATAATACCTTGTTTGATATATTTTTTATGCTAGCATTAGTTATATAATCTATTGTATATTAAGGTGTGTATCATTTATATCCTAGATTTCTAAATATTAGTAATGCAAAATTAAGATCCAACTAGTCCTCAAAATCCTTTTTACATCTTTTCAATCATAATTATAAGAGTATCTTTATAAATAGATATTTTTATGCAATGTATATAATTTTTAATATACCAAACTAAACAATGTTCGTTCCTTCTGTCACTCCCTCCCTCCCTTTGAAGTGGTGTAAGTGTAAGTCGTGTAACTAAGGAATTTGATAAAGGTATGCAAATTTTCTTCACAATTATTATAGAAATGCACTTAAATATACACTTATAATAGTTATTTCCTTCGTCCTAATTTAATTGATTACCTTTAAAAAGAGGAAAAACTTTTGAAATTTTTAATCTAAAATAAGTCATAAGTATTTATATTGATATATAATAATTTCATCAAGGATAAAATTAATAATTTTAAAATAAATTATTACGAAATATAAAAATTCATTATTTTTTGAAACTAAATTAAAAAAAATCATATAAATTGAAACATAATACCCCCTTCATTTTAAAAAAATGATTTCGTTTGACTTGACACGAAACTTAAGAAAATAAAGAAAACTTTTCAATTTTGTAATCCTAAATTAAAATTAAGTCAAATATATCAAAATGTGTTTTAACTTTGTGACCTTAAACCTGCCATATGAAAAGTTAAAATTAAAGTATTACCGAAAAAGGAAAGTCGTTCTTTTCTTTTTGAAACGAAAAGAATAATACTCCCTCTATTTTCAATTTATGTGACTTACTTTCTTTTTTAGTCAGTTCCAAAAATAAAGACACATTTCTATATTAAATAACAATTTCACTATAAAATGTATATTTTATCCTTAATAAAATGATTTACAGCCACATAAATTTCTATCATTCATTTTGTACCACAAATTTTAAAAGTCTTCCTTTCTTTTTGAACTCTATGCCGAATCAAACTACCTCACATAAAATGAATTAGAGACAATAATATTTACTAACTTTTATACATTACATAATTTTTGACGAAGGATATGCACCGAACCACCTTTCACCTACGGTTGCTACGCGCATGTCTCTGTTTTGACAGCTACTTCATCCTTTATGTTTCTCTTTTATTCTCGTTAGTATGATAATTCGAATTACACTAATTTTTTCTCTCACTCCTCTTCTCTTCATATATATGTCCCTACTTTTTTGGCATTCGATACATACTTCTCTAACCATCTGTGCAATGTCCATTTGAATCACCGTTAATTAATGGCGGAACTTGTACAATCATCTCTCATTTCCGTGTCAAAAATAGAGGAACCAGAAGAGAAAGAGAAACGAATGGAAAAGCGAAGAAGAGATGAATCTTACCCAGTATACAGAGGAGTTCGAATGCGAAGTTGGGGAAAATGGGTTTCTGAAATTCGACAACCGCGTAAGAAATCACGGATTTGGCTAGGTACTTATCCAACC